AGTTAAGTGACAGGATTGATGATAGGCTTACATCTGCTTTTTTAATGCCATGAGATCTACTGACACTATATTTGCGATCAATTAGTAGCTTGCCATCCATGTATTGAGCACCCCTGAGTTAGAGTCTGGGAAACCCGCAGGGGCTGTTCTAGCCTGGCATAATTTTCATGTAAAAGTGCTACATTACAAGGCCAGTAGTCTCCTAAATTGTCCACAATTGTATATATGGCATCAGGAAGCAGAAGTCTCCCCCTGATGGGTGTTTACCAAATAACAAGTTTTACTTGAGTTGGCATCGACCGTGATGGCAGTGAGTGAATGTGATCACATGTTTTAAACGAAGTGCCTGAGAAACAAGTAAAAACAAAAAAAGCATTGTCATGAAGTGAATTCAAACTCATAGGGACTTCAGGGACAGACTAAAAGTAGCCTATGGTGTTGCTAAGGTTGTGATCTTAATGGAAGCAGACTGCCACATCTTTCTCCCGTGGAATGGCTGGTGGATTCGAATCATCAATCTTTCATTTATACAGCCAGACCACTGCATCACAAGCCTCATTACATTAAGTACAGTCCCCCAAATTGACAGTAGGTCCATCCACGAAGCTGACAACCTTTATGAATGTTTACAACGCTCAGAGGCAGAGGTAGGTAGGTAGGGCATCAGTACAAAAGTTAAATCTAGAGAGCACTGCTAGGGAAGGGGAAGGACAAGCACAGCTGTGGGCTTCTTGGTGTGATGATACAATGATTATTTATGAGTCCAAAGGCGTTATCTGCAGCAAAGCCACAAAAAATTATTTTCATAGTCTATCCTGCAGGACAGTAAATTAGCAAAATTTTGTCAAGTAGTAGAATGTGACTGGGTTGATAACGCGAAAGCCTGTTTCCAACGTTTGATAACTACAGAACGTCACCAGAAGCCCAGGTATGTGCGTGTGTATTTCTTTCTCCTAGACTAGCATGGACCAAAGTATAACCAGGCAGCAGATTCCTTTCTCTTGAAGGCACTTGCAGATCTAAAGGCCAGAAGGTACAAGAATAAAGGGATGAAGAACTTCCCTTTTATGGTAATATATGTTGAAATTCCCCCTTTTAAATGTTTATTGAGAGGACTGACATGCTGGGTGCTTAAAGGATTTTGTTTGGCAATAATTAAGGAATGTGGTGTTCATTAAGAAAGGCTTTTAAAGAAACAACATAGACAAGACTGAGAAGGGTGGAAATATGTTTTGTGATATTCCTTTATCTCTTAATCCCCATTTTCGTTGTTTGAATATTTCTTCAGCAACACAGTAGAAAGAATTCAACATATCCGTACATGAATGATGTTGTTTTTATCTTTCATCCTGGTGACAGTAGACAATGAGAAGCAATTCCTCTTTATAATCACTCCTCTGTATAACCATACAACTCTATTACACGCTGAGCAGCCTCGTGGGCTAAGCGCTGAGTCAGCAGGTTT